CTATGTTTTCGTAACGATTTTTAACCCCGACCCCGTGGTCCGATGCCCCAGGCTCGGATCGGCGCTTCCTCGTCTTCTATTCTTGGAGGATCAGGCACAAACAGTTCCTACCGTTTCGTAGCACCGGGCGGCATTGCACTGCGCCGACCGGTGTCGTAGGAGAAATTGATGATCTTTATACGGGTGAGTAAAATCTTTGTTTTGTGCCTTGTTTGCTTCTCTATTTCCTTTCCTTATCCTTAAAGAAATTTTAATGTGATTCTGTGTAGTTAGGTAGTAAAGATGCTATTTTTAAGTCAAAACTTTTAAAAGAAGCCAACTTTTAAAAGAAAACAGTCACCCAAATACCAATCCTGCAGAACACAGTTCGTGGAAGCTACATTTAGAAGTAGTATTGTTCTTTTACCCATATGTAGTTTTATTTATAGTTTCTTGTGGATTTAGGTTACCATTGCTGGGGAACTAAATCAAAGGACCGTCGATGAAGATAGAGATTAGAAGTTTTGAACCACTGATCCGTAGGATTACATTAGTCGTTTCCTTTTCTAAGCAGTGGAAGTCAGAGCCTGTGACAACAGAATTTGTATTTCAATTAGGTTGTGTCACAATGCCATTTAGGTAGTTGAGGATTGATTTATTAAAAATAACTACATCACCCTGACTCCTAACTATAGGCCACACATATTCTCTTAACAGGCTAGCTAGTGAAACAGTAATTTTTTATTATTATTAGAGATTGTACAAGGTGTCCCAACTTGTATCAGATTTAACCAACAATTATTTCTCTCTATAGGCACTGTATCTAGAAGGTTTCAGTTATAACTTATAAGCAGCCCAAAATAGATAGAAATCAGTGGATGACATTCAGACCTTAGAGGATCTTGGATTGTAGGGGGAGTTCGGGAACTTGCATTATCTGGTTTAAAATACAGTAAAAACTGCTAGTTGGGCAAATTTTCATTTGGATTTTTTGTACTACTATGGGCACTGTATATATCTAGTGGGTCACAAGGAAGATGGTGACGGTTACTAGGGCAAAGAACATGAGAAGAATGTTGAGAGGTTGTATCTTGACTTCCATGGTTAGTTTGCTATTCGGAAATCTCTCATGATAAATTGCCTGTTATTGTCGCTTACCAGAGGTGTGGTAAACAGAAAAATTGTAGCTTTCATATGTTAAGATTGTGTGCTGAATCTAAGGGTTAGTTTAGATTTACTCTCACATCCCATTCACTAGTTATGATAATAGCTACTAATTGGTTATTCGTACGGCATATGCTTTTGTTGTAGTGTGTATATATGCAGTGAGGAAGTTGATAGGTCCGAAGTATAAGATAAAACCTGAAAAGCTGCATTTGGTGTCATCTTCTAGCCATCCAGGTCAAGTTGTAAAATTTTAGATGCAGAGCATTCATAAATCTTAAGGGGAGGGCTTTAGGTACATCACAAGTCATATGGAAGCACTTTTAGGGCATTTCGAATATATATCGTTGTGCATGAAGAAAGGGACATTTGATTTGCATGCAAATTTTCATTGTTGGAGAATTTGACATTCAAGTTTATTTATATTTGCAAGCAAATCACTTCCACTGTTTTAGCTTCACAAAAGCTTGAAACTTCAAACTTTTTTAACAAATTTTTTTCATTGTTTTAGAATCATGGTAAAGGACAAGAGGCAAATGGAGAACAGAGTTGAAACATGACTTTTATATATGAAGCCTGACAGATTTTAATCCTTTATTTCGGATGAGATTTTAAGCTAAGGTAGTTTAAATGAAATTGTCCTATAATCTCTTTCATCACTTCTCCAAAACCCAACCATTTTTGCTTTTCCCCAAATTCCACAGTCGATATTGATGCTAATCATCACAAGAAGGTGTTTTAAGAGCAATCCCTCTTGTATCCTTGAGAGAAGAAAAGAGTGGAGAATGAAAAGGAAAGGAAATGCCGATAGGAGAAGGAAGACGCAAGGCGAAAGAAAGGAAAAACGACAACAGGAAATGGTGTTAGTTTTATGTGTTTCATGGTTATTCAACCTTTCAAGAGGAGCAGGTAAACGCAGCAAAGAAATAAAAAAATAAAAAAAAATAAAAATAAATAAATAAAAAAAAACAGAGAGGAAGTAGTAGAAACAGCCCAAAGAAAGGAAGAAGAAAGGCAAAGAAACGGCGTTAGTTTTTGGTGTTTTATGGCCCACATCTAAAACGTGTCAGAATATTATTGGTTCGGGATACATCCCACGTGGTATACCCGGGATATTGTAGACTTTCTCTAGATCAAGCTGCTCACTTCCCTCATTCTCCCTCTCCTCATGAGTCATGAGGTCTCAACCAATTGAACTTTTTCACAGAAAAAAAAAAATTATTATTAGATATTCTCCACGAGATTTGAATATGCGTACGCCTTCTAGAGGCAACGGTAAACTGCCCCCTACCGTTACGTGTAACCGTAAATGGTATTGCATTTGATACACGATAAGTTGTCGACCTCTATATCTAAAATCTAGAAATTAAATCAGGATGAAAGATAGGAATTTTGTTATCATTTTGATGATACAAAATGAGGACAAAGTGTAGGTCCTTATGGGTAAATTTTTCTTTAAAATTATTGTATTAAAGTAATTTGTCACTTTAAAAAAATATATTGATGTAATTTATTATTTAAAATTTTTATTTTTAAGAAATTAATTTAAATTTAATCATTATCGTAAATTTTTTTATTAAATTTTAAGAGTAATAATTTAATTAAATTTAATAACAATAATTAAATTTATATTAATTTATTAAAAATTAAAATTTTAAATAATAAATTACGTTAATATTTTTTTAATTATAATTTTTTTAACATAATAATTTCAAAGAGAATTTACACATTTAACCGATTAAATAATATTCATTCTTACTTAAGTCCTACTTTAGCCTACAATTAATATTATAATTACTCCTTGACGGGAGACATGACATGACTACAATCTTGGCAGCGATATAGATATAACTTTTTTTAAAAAAAAAATTTGTATATAAATTTTATATAGTATTAAATATATATTTAATATTATAAAATTTAAATGAGACGTAAGATTATATTAAAAAATAATACAGAAAGATTATTTTTGAATTATTTTTTATAAGTTCTATTTCTGTCGTCCACGTTAACAGTGTACGTGGTTCCTATATGTATCACTTACATTGTAATCCAAGCATGCATTTTTTAGGAACAATGTTGCTTAACTCAAGCGGTTAAATCCAGTCTCTGCCGATCTGGTTGCCACGTTTTACCTTGGCCAAATTGAAATATATAGGATTTTTTTAAGCTCTTGGTATAGGTTAATGGTATTTTTTTACTATAAATTTATATAAAAAAATATAAAAATTGATATTAATTTTAGTGGTAATGTCAAATTGATAAATTTAATTAAATAGTTAATAAAGTAAAAGTTAATTTTTATTTTTCTTATGTAAATTTATAATAAAAAATATATTTAATACATATTTAATTTACACATAAAAGTATATGTCAGAAAAATCTAAATATATAAAAGGAGGAAATGAAAGCATTTTTCTTTTTGAAATATGGCTTCTCACTTACTGTGGCCTAGTTAGAAAACTTTTGTCGCCTTGAAGTACGAATCTTCAAACTATCCTCTAAATCCTGCCTAATTTAATTTCATGGACCATCAATCAAGCGATTGTAATGTTCCCCACGCTTAGTAGTGCAGAAGGCAAATCCACCTGCCTTAAAATGGGGACACCGGTTAGGTCTCAGTTCGAACCCAACTCTCCTCCTTTTTAACGTGAGGTCTTATCCTTCTTAAGCCTTTTAGTTTAAGTACTATCATTTGAACAAGTAGTTATAATTAAGTCAAGTCAGACCTAATATTATTACAATTTGGAGCATAACAGACTTTATTGATGGTTGTCATGTGTTCAATTAGATTTGTAGTTTTTCGTAATTATCTTCTAATATGCTAGTGTCATTTGATGTTAGTGGAGGTAATCAGCAAATGGGAGACATGGGAGGCTAATTTTAATGAAGTGGCAG